ACAAGTATAGTTTCCTTAAAACATACTACGTAAGTATGTAAACAACAATACAATAACATTATAACTAGAAATATGCCAAGTCATGCGATATCAAATGGCACAATAATATAATCATGTGATAATCAAGTATAGCTAAGTGCTTCTCCATCTAGGTTGACACACGAGTTCGAACAGATAATTTCTGACACGAACAGGACTGGGTGTAATCAACATGCTCTAGTACTACGATCACGTGAAGGCTGGTGCAGAAGCACGGTCACATACAAGTCAGATTGCCTAATGCAATCTACCTGACAAGACTGGCACTTAACTTGGATCCAAGGCTAGTGAATGGTGCGATGTGAACATACACGTGAAGGACTGGCCCTGGCCCTGGCCCTGGGGCGAGTACTAACACCGGTGCAGCAAGATGAGCATGTACAAATATGTATGAATGTCATGACAATAATATCTCAACCATATAGCAGCATTTATCACAATTACATCGCAGTTATCAGTTATTTGGCAATATATACATAAAGTGATGTATTTATGCAACTCCAGAAACTATAAATACGTATAGATATAAAAATAAACTGCCCACTCACCTGGAGTCTGTGCTATGACTCCTTAGCACGAATATCAAGACGTCATGAACAAACGTTGCCTAGAACAATTATCAAATCACAACTCAGGATTCTTATCGATAGAACACACAACTGACATAAAACACATCCCCAAGGGCATTCTAGAATGATTTGAAACTCATTAACCAAAAGTCAACTGTCGGTCAAAGATTCACAACCCTACATAACTTGATCCAGAAGCTCCGCACCTCGGATTTTCAATCCGTAACTTCCAAAGATTCACATTATGCTTCTAGAACAACATTCTAAAGTTTCAGAACGATCCAATGGTCGGATCTCCGCCAATTGCCAAAATTAAGTGGAGGTCAACACTTTATTTTGTGAACTAACAAATTCAATTCGGGAAGATCCGTACATCGGTTTCCCGATCCATAAGTTTCTATGATCCTCAAATATTACGTTCTATAAGGTACTAAGGTTTGGTGACGATCCAACGGTTGGATCGTCAATTCATGCAAGGACCCTATGACGGCCAACTACGAAACTACATGAAAACATTGTAATTTCACTAAACGGATGACAAATATGGAATAGGGGCTTCAAAATTAGCCTAAGGCGGTCAGATGGGGTCTCGGCCCACGCGCTGCCGCGCGTGGTGGCTGGCTACCACGGTTCGCCAGAGAATTCCACTATTTCTTAAAATTCTCAAATTTTATAGAAATAAAGATCTCAAAGAGATGAACAACTTTCATACCTGCCATGAAGTCCAAAAGTGGACAGAAGATGGTCAATTTTGCCCACAAAGCCAAGGGTGCCTAAAACTTCCCGGCGTCGATTCGTCGTCTATGGTGGACCAACGGGGTCAAGGTTGGTTGGGATTTTCTCCTGGGATGATGGGCTACAAAGCCCAAATGGTGGCATCGGCATTGCTTTGCCGATTTGCCTGAAAATTGAAAAGAGTGGTCGGACAAGGTTTTGATGGGTCGGATTTCGTGGCTTCGTCCCGCCACATGTGGTGGTTTCTAAAGGTGATTCTTAGTTGGGTTTTGTAGAGGGGAGTGAGGACTTCAAGATGGTGGTGGCGGCGTCGAAAAACTTCACTGGAGTTGGTCGGAATTGGCCTTGGAAAATAGGTCCTTTTTTTTTTTTTCCTTTTCCTGATCTAATTTCTGAAGGCTTTCCTTCCTTTTATGTGATTGGTCCCCCTTATTTAAGCCTAAAATCTGATTAGGCTTCTTTCCCACAAGGTGGGAATTCAATTAACTTATAAACCAAAATATAAATAACCAAATTCAAATGTCTGTAACTATACTGTTATAATCCGGACTCGCAAACGGCTTTTGCTTATGCGTTCATAATGACGAGTACTACGAGGGTACACTAAAATAATAAGTCCTACCTTTCTCAAATCAATGGTCAACGGAAGTCAAAGTCCTTACCTTTAGGGCATTTTTGTAAATTCACATTTTTAAAATTAATAAAAACGTACAATTAGGGACTGGTTGTCACACTTCAGGCAACGGGCCATATGCAAGGGAGCCTAGCAGCAGCAGCTCTTGGTTTTAGGCTGAAAGGGGGGCATGGGTTAGGCCCAGCAACAGCTGGCCATGGGTTGGGTTCGGGGCAAAAGAAGCCCAGCCTACTGGGCTGGCTTGGTGACACGCGGGCTAGGAGGGTCAAGCCTAGCAAGCCAAGGGCTTGCGTCGTGTGGGCCAAGGTGAGGCAAGGGTTCATCAAATAGGTCAGGCCGTGTTGGACTCAGGGGTTTGGATCGAGGGCTACAGGCCTTAGGGTTAATCAACCCATTTTTTTTTTTCCGACATGTTAGGGTTAAAAAAAAACTAGAATTGCTTCTAATTTATTTTATATGCTTTGACTCACAATTCCACATAGCAAATATAATTGTGTAACGCATGAAACAAATATATAAATATATACAATATATATATATATATATATATATATATATATATATATATATATATATCGTAAGGAAAATATAAACATAGAGGAGTTCATGCATCATGGGGAATGTTTTCATGCTTCATGGTCGTTTCAAATATCTTCCTTTATTTTAAGCGTACCTGGTTGGTAGAAAACAATAAAAGCCTTTGAATTTGTAGTAGATCTTCTCGGAAAGCCGAAATTGCATCTCCAATGCATTGTATTATGTTCAACAAAGATAAATTAAATTGAATCAATAGCATGTAGATCAATTAATTTAATCATAAAAAAAAATATTAAAATGTAATACTCCCCTGATTGAAGAATAAACTCTCTTTAGCGTAGCGTCAAGAGCGTGTTGATAATGTGTTGTAGGCATAATTTACTGAACTGTATAAAGGCCAGAGAGAGAGAGAGGGGGTGCGGCACATAGAGAGAGAAGAGAGAGATGTGTAATTGTGGATGTGTTCTATTTTATTCCACCCCATTATGTCTTTATTTATAGTAATAGGATAGGTAAAATCTTTACCCTTTTATGATTACAACTCTTAATAGGTAATCAACTCCTAATAGGAATATAAGAGATATTCTTAAATTCACTAGAATTTACACAATCACATTCCTAATCTAATACGACTACAACAATTGTCTAATTATGTGAGCAATTATCGTTCTAAATAGTGGAGTTGTTTTTTGTTATTTTGCCAAAAGAGTGGAGTTGCTCTAACGCAATGATAGGGTGAAACCTAAGCTCATTTCGCAAGCAATTAAATAAAAACCATCTGAACGACCAGACAAAATAGCAATAGAAGAAGTTAAAGAAAAAAAGAAATTAAAAGGGCAAAAGTGTTACGTGAGAGAGACGAGAGTATGTGACTTAGAGCTTTTTTTATTCCCTTTGATTGTGAGGGGAATAATAGAAAGACGATTATTAAATGAAATAGCGTAAAAAGACTTGCAAGGGAATCGACTTTGAGTGCCGAGAGAGTGTTTCATTCTCACATTATATATGAGTCTGGAACTAGAAATATAGATTTATGTATGCTCTGAGGGAGGGTGGGAGGGGGCGCGAAGGATTCCTCATTCGACCTCATAAATTCCTCATCCCGGTAAGTTTTCCCACCTACTGCCTACAAATGTTAGAGACACTACATTTTGTAAATTACATAATATGAAAGTTGATGATTAAACTATTACTCAAGTGTAGATTAACGTGCTTATTTTTTATTAGTGATACATTGTTTAATTTACAAATTTAATCTACTTAGTATTATTCTTCCTCGCTTTAGATCTAGAGGTATTATCATAATGAAGTATCTGCTTTTTCTATTTTTAATTATAGTATATGTTGGAAAATCATACATATCAAATGAAACTCGTTTAGGTTCATATCTAGTGGAATTAATGAATTTCAGACCACCTTAGTGGTCTTGCTAGAGTTAGGGTGAATGTTTGGTCCAATATTTAAAAAAGGAATATTACTCAAGAGACATTAGTATAATCCATGTTCTATACTGAGTGAATTACTATTTATTCAATAATTACATTAAATAAACCTGACGTTATAAAATTTATGTATGGTTCCAATAATAAATTTGGTAGTTTAAGTAAGGGTAAATTACATTTTACCCCCTCAGGTTTGGGGTCAATTTCAATTTTTTACAACATCTTTAAAACATTTCAAATTCATACATTTACTTATCATTTTATTTCAATTTTATACATCCGTTAGAAAAATCTGTTAAGTAAACTGTTAAGTGACGATGTGGCAAATATAGGATCCACATTTGTGTGCCACGTGGCAAATTTTTATTTATTTTATATTATAATAATTTACCCTATTAAAAAAAAAGAGCAAACCCAAAATCCCATCTTCCCCCGACCCACCTCCTGGTCCTCCACTCTCTTCACCTCCCCTCCTATCCAAAAACCCACCCCCACTGCCTCTTCTTCTTCTTCATGGGTATCTCCTTCTTCTTCCTCCCACATCTTCTTCTCCACCTAAGAGGCTTGTTAATTGAAGATGGTGTTACAGAGGTCCCTGAAATTGGGGTCCCAATGTTTGAACAAATTGAAGAACGAGAGGTGTCGGGGACGAATGTGTAGAGGCTGTTGGAGCCTCTGTGGCCCTCGAGGCTTACCATTGTCAAAAACGACAAGAACTTCGCCGAGGGAAGTCGAGTCCGAGACGGGGCTCTTCGATTTAAGGGCTTGGGGTTTGAAAATCACCAAGCACAGACTTGTGTTTGTTCCACGAGAAACATTGGATCATGGTGGTGGTCTGATATCAACGGGGAACGACGGTGAAGCCACTGTTGGAGTCGTCTTGGTGCGTCGGGAATCGTCGGAGAAGACGATGAACGGTGGGAGCAACCACTGAGGAGGTGGGGGGGGGGGTAGGGGGGTTGCGAGGGAGGCGGGGGTGGGGAGGGATGAGGTGGGTTTTTGGATGGGAGGGGAGGTGAAGAGAGTGGAGGAGAGGGAGGTGGGTCGGGGGTGGAATGGGTTTCTGGGTTCTGTTTTTGTTTTGTTTTTTTTTTAATTAATTATCTTATTAAATATTTAGCCACGTGGCACAAATGGGACAGCTACGTCAACTCTTAACGGACCAATTGATGGAAAATGTAACGGAGGTATTATATTGAAATAAAATAGTACGTGAGGTATGAAAGTGAAATGTATTGACACTATTTGTATTGACACTATTTGAAGTAAAGTGTAATTTACCCATTAATTAGTTAACGTATTGACACTATTTGTAATTTTTGTTCTTGTTAATATATAATACTTGATTAGGCGAGTCACATTTGGAGTTGGAAAGAGTTGATGATGACAGATTTAGCTGAAGAGAGCAATAGTGCAAACAAAGATCACTCCGTAATTCAAGTAAGGGAGGAGGGAGAGAGACGTGAGATAGAAATAAGTGATGTGGGTAACCAAACTTTGAGTGGAAATGAAACAAATAAAGACGAATTATTAGCGTCCCTTATAGAAAAAAAGCTTCCCCAGGAATTTCCAAAACCTGATCCTACTTGCATATTCAGAGTCCCTAATAAACTTGGCAGGGACAATGAAAATGTTTTTGTCCCACAAGTGGTTCCGATCGGGCCCTATCACCACGGAGGAAAAAAGTTCGAAGCCATGGAACAAATTAAGCTATGGAATTTGCAATGCCTCCTCAAACGCCAACCAACTCCAGAAACCTGTTTGGTGAAGTTTGTCGAGGAAATTAGAAGCAAAGAAGAGTTTCTTCGTAACTGCTATGACGAAAAGCTTGGTGATCATCTCAGTAGCGATCAGTTTGTAGAAATGATGGTGGTCGATGGTTGCTTTATTTTAGAACTTATCCGCAAAGATAATCCAATTTCCATATATGATGATGTTTTCAGTATGCCAGAGATGTTGTCGATAGTTAAAAACGACTTGTTCCTGCTAGAAAACCAGCTTCCGTGGAAAGTTCTCGACTGTTTATTCAACCTGACAAAAGAATCAGGAGAGATTTCTCTATATCGACAAACTTTGCCATTAATTGGCGGAGTTATGCCTAATTGGATGATCACAGATTACCAAATTGTCGTGAGTATTGTGGATAAAGAACGGGAGACATGGCAATTCAGACATTTACTTGACAATGCAGGAGATTTTCTTGTTGGATCATTATCGAGGAATAAGGACCGTCCACGTCGTTATGGATTTTGGGATCCTATTCCCTCAGTGACACATCTTGAGGAGATTGGAGTCAAATTTCAACTTGCATCCTTTGAGACAGAGCTGTTGGGCATAACCTTCAACAGGGAAAAAGGAGTGATGGAAATTCCAAGGATGATAATTGGAGCCAACACAGAATGTGTCTTGAGAAACCTCATAGCCTACGAACGGTGTTCAATGAAGCCCCATTACATTTTGTCTTATGCCATGCTGCTGAATCAGCTTATCAAGTCTACCAAAGATTTAGACTCTCTCGTTCAGAAAGGAATTGTACTAACCAATTTGAGCAAGGAGGACACGGTTTCTTTGTTCAATAGGCTTTGCAATGACACTGCATCCATCCTGTTCGTTTACTCTCAACTCGCCCTCGACGTGTATTTCTATAATCGAGATCGTTGGCTAAGGCGTTGGCTTGCTGGGATAAAAAGGAATTATCTATACAATCCATCGTCAATCTGGTTAGTCTCAAATGCGGTCATCATTATTCTCATTCTTACCGTCATGCAAACCCTATATAGTGTTCTCGCCTACTACAAGCAAAAGTAGTAACCTTCCAATTGATCAATGTTCGTTGGAGGACATAAAACTCAACAAGACTTGCGTGATTGCTGGCAAAGTTATGAACTAAAGCAGTGTTGTAATTGATTATGTGTGACAGTAATACAGTTTGGAACTACCTTGCCATCTTTTGTTTTCAACTTCTGAATAATTTGTAAAACTATTTGGTAATTTTTTATCATTATTCAACAGTTTATCATGAATATATTACTTATGTTGAATTAGTGGCCAAGTGGCCAAGTTTTGGCTAAATAAAATAAACAAAAGGAGGTAGACAACATCATTATGTTTGTTGAAAAGAACAAAAAAGGTTATGATGATGTTTGTATAAAAAAAGGTAAACGCTAGCAAGTAGCTTTATTATTGGTTTTGTTTATTGGGTGTTTTATGATGGATGAATGTGAGCATCCGAATGTAAAAAGAGGGAGGGTACACCATTTCTGTTGTAGTAGCCCATCTTTGAGAGAGCAAAGGCAGTAGCAGAGAGCAGAAAAGAAAAAGAAAGTGCTCATCTCTTTGGTTAGTAATCACTTACCAAGGTAGTTGTTGTTGTAATAGTTTTAAGCTTTGTATAGAGCGAAAATTATTCATTATATTTCTCTCTATTTGTTTCTTTGGTGTGTGAGAGTTGTTGGTTGTATTGGGGTTTTTGGGTTGTGAGCTTGTCAACACTTTGTAAACTCCCATTTGGTTGATAGTGGATTATTAGGTGAGCTCCTACTACTCCGAGGACGTATTCCAGTTACACTGACTGTTGAGGAACCTCGTTAAAATCTTGGTGTTCTTTTATATTTTGTTCTTGCATTCCATTTGATATTTTTCTTGTGGGTTAGCTTGAATTGGTTCCAGAAGGTTTGGTGCTATCCTAGCACAACAACTTAGTATCTATAACGTTGATTTGTTCTATGCATTTACTAAATAATCTCTGATTGAAATGATTTTTTGTTAGGAGTGATCTTCAAATGAAAATTAAGAAATTGAACGATTCCGATTATGAAATTTGTATGGTCAAAGATAAGTTATTCAAAAAATAATTGCGATAGCATTGAATTCGATGAAGGTGGTTTTGCTTACGAAGCAAAGCCTGCAAAACCCTAGAGGAAGTTTGGAAGAAAACTCTGCAGTCTGTACATTCCATTCTGCAGACTGATTGTGTTTATTCTTCTTCTTCATAGTAAATTTCTAAGCATTAGACACATAGATAATGTAAAGAACAATATATATATATATATATATATATATGTGAAGGATCATTACTCTGCAGGAGTTAGCGCGGTTTCCGAATGTTGCTCACCCTCTGGTTCAGCAGGAGCCTCTGGTTTTGATAAAACAGGTGCACTTCAGCTGTAGCTCCAGCTACGGTTGGTGAATTAATTTTTCCATTCTTCGCATGCCTTCCTTCCTTTGCATACTTTCTTCCTTTTCTACTTTTGCATCTTTTGCATCCTTTCCATCATTTGAATCCTTTGCATCCTTTCCTTCTTTTATCCCTTTGCATCCTTGCCATCTTTGGCAGGTGGGGGCGTGAAATCGTGCCTCAGGTAGAGTAAATAGATAATCGGAATATGATTGAACAAGGATTTCAATCCCAAATCAAACTAATAAAATCTTGCAGCATAAGTAAATTAGCACAAGGATTTTTGTACCCAATGGTACAAGGAAAAAACCCAACGGGAAAAACCTCTAGAAATCAACTAAGAATGGAGTATTACAAGACTCAAGAAGATAAACTCTAAACAAGAATCTACCCAATACTTTTGTCTTGCCTTACTCGGTTCTTGTTTGAACTCTCTCGAATCGATGATCTTCACGAACAAGCATGCCAGGAAACAACATCCAATATGGAATATGAAATATGAAGATGCAAACTAGAAATAAAAAGCTTCACAAAGTTGTTTTATCATTCTAATTTTCCATGAACTCACCTTTGCTTCTCTCAATATAAATCTCTCAAATCAGTTTTTGCAGAAATGAGTAACAAAGGTCTTCAAGCTTTGTTCTTTAATCAAGAGAAATCACGTTCCAAAAAGAGTAGGAAAAAGTAGAATTGGTTTTAACGTGAAAAGGAGGAAAACAATTCTGCTGATTGATTTTATTATGAATTTCATTCCTAATAAAACTTAATCACAAAAATATAGTTTTCCTAATATGATATGCAAATGCAAATTACCTTGTAGACATAGTCAACCCTTGATTTGCTCAATCTGGGTAAGTCTTGTGCCCCAAATTAATTTGCCTAAAAACTAGGTCTAAATCTAAGAAACGAGGACACAATTACAAGTCTAGGAAATTAGCCAATTCTAAAGTAAATTCACATTTACAATCTCCCCCTTTGGCATTTCCTAGACAAAACCCCAACACAAGGAAAAAAGAAACCACCCAATCTCAACTTGATCAAGGATTCAACTCTGCACAATAGTAAATTAGATAGCATATAGTTGTTAGAGTATCACAACCACAAGTACTCCCCCTCAATATAACCACTTATGCAGAACGAAGGCTCCCCCTTAATCATAGCAGAACAAGACTCCCCCTTAATCATAGCAGAGTGACCAATTAACCTAGGGTTTGCACTAATCTCCCCCTTTTTGGAAAGGAAAGCCAAAGATGTATGACCATCACCTGTATTTGGACAACTCTGCACACTTGCACAAGAATCATGGAAAGCGTTCATACCCATACAACACATGCAATAGATGAACTAGAAGAATGAATGTAAATGAATGATGAACAGAGAAACATGGTAGCAAGACATAAGCAAAACAAATTTGTGGGGGGAAACAAGTAGAGCATCACAAAAAGTTATTTGGCGTGATACAAGCATAACATTTCCGACAAACTCATCATGGATGTTCATAAACCACAAATAATAAAGAGATTAAAAACCAAAGACATGGAGCAGGAGTTGAGGTTGCCAAGTTAGAGAGCAAAGTGCTTAGATTCAATTAAGAAGATGAAAAAGTGTGTAGTGTGAGTCAGCACAAAGGAGTTTACACATGTGAAGAATACTGTGCTTTTGACTAATGAGAGCCCACAATGCGTGATCATGTAGCCTTGCTTCCTAGAATAGTTGACCTGCATAAATTTAAGTTTTGAGCATGGGGACTGTGGACACCTTCTTTCAATGGTAGCTATACACTCCAATCCACTGGCTTTAAGTTCTCAACAAGTGTGAGAGGTGTAAAGATTTTCAATATGCCATGCAGTAGGAATTATAGGTAGCTTTTTCCACATCATGTCGTCTTGAAAAATTTTGCCCCTTAATTGTTTTTTTTTAATTACACACACACACAGAGTTGGTCCAAGTGTCATAAGAAGCATGGCCTAACGAAGACAATGTGTGCCTCACTTTGTCTCAGTTGAATTCTATACAAGGGCACACACCAAGAATATTGACAGAGTGCAAGAAGAATTTTTATGGGTTGTCAATCCAAGCACTCAGCAAAGGGACCATTTTAACCACTGATCTCAAGGGTTCAATCTCAATATTATTCACAGTTGTAAAACACGTTGGAAGGAGAGATGTCAATCTAAGATCAAGTAAACACGAAGCAATTGCCAGAGAGTTTAGCTCATTTCCCAACAAGCAGTGAAGAACACCAATCAAAACAAAAGAAAAATATATAGAAAATGTTTTAAGATTTTTTTAAATGAAAATAAAAATAAAATGCAATTTTTACACAATGTGATGCATTTGAGACAGTATCCTAGCTGTTCAAGAGATAGTACAAATGCCAATGGACTTTCGGAGGTGTTCAAATCTAGTAGTATCCAAGGGTTTTGTAAAAATATCAGCAAGTTGATTGTCACTATTCACATAATCATGTCGAAGAACCCCATGTTCAACGAACTCACGAATAAAATGATGTAGGATATCAATATGCTTGGTTCGGGAATGCTTAACATGATTCTTAGAAATATTTATGGCACTTTGATTATCACAGAAAATGATCAGCTTACCTTAATTAAAGCCATAATCACACAACATTTGCTTCATCCCCAGAACTTGAGTACAACAACTCCTAGCTATGATGTACTCAGCTTCAGTTGTGGAAAGTGATACACATTTTTGTTTCTTACTGTGCCATGAAACCATATTGTTTCCAAGATAAAAACAGCCACCAGATGTGCTTTTTCGATCATCAATATTTCCAACCAAGTCTGCATCTGAATAGCTATCATGCTCCTGTAAAGTGTCTGGTCAACATCTTTTCAAGTTAGATTTTATGAAGCTTGGTGGTGGTGCTCATGGGATTTGTGACTAGCTTTGCACTTTCGAATCCAAACTTTGAAACCAAGTCCTTTGCATACTTAGTTTCAGATAGAAGCATCCCATCTTTTAATTGTTGTACCACCAATGCTTTGAGTTGACATTGGACCTACCAAATCCATATGCATAAGCTCAAGAATTTTGGTGGTTCCAATGAACTTAGTTACACTGTGAGCTGTCCTAGTTTGCTTCCCAATTTGACATCCTCCACACACTCCTTCAGGCCTTCCACTTAGTGATGGCAGTCCATGAACGTAAGACTTATTTGACAACTTGAGCAAATCTCGATAATTCACATGTCCTAATATTTTGTGCCATAACTCCACTTGATCATCCGCTGCCTTGAAACACAAATTTGAATTGTCAGTGCTAGTGCAATAACAATTCTCTTTTGATCTTGGTGCACATATAACTTGTTTGCCACTTAGATCACTAACTATGCAATTTTTGGTGTTGAATTTAACTTCTCCAAACTCATCACATAACTGACTAATACTCAAGAGATTAGTAGTTAGTCCATCAACAAGTATAACATCATTTAAGGGAGGTGAGCCAACAATCTTGACAATACCTTTACCTAAAATGCAAGCTTTCATACTGTCACCAAAGGTTACAGACCCACTTACCTTCATATCGATGAAAGATCGAAATCAATTTTTGTCACCTGTCATATGTCTAGAACAACCACTATCAAAGTACCATTTGTCTTTGAGACATGCACTCAGAGCTGTAAATGCAACCATACAAACAACATTAGTCTCATCTATGTTAGAAGTGATAGCTAAGGAACGTAGTAAGTTCTATTGAACTTTTTCTTTTCTTGATCCAGCTTGTTCCTTTTTCTTGCATAACCATGTCTGCTTCATTGTTCCAGATTGCATTAAAGCTGACAATCCGCGAACTTCTTTTGCTAACTCTGAAATTTAAATTTGAAGATTTTCTGCAGTAAACTTGTTAAACTTTTTAACTCTATTTTGACATCTTGGCCTAATATGACATGTTTCACCACAACCATAACAAACTTGATTAAACCTTTTTGGCACAAAACTAGAAATTTGCAACGCTGCCTCGATCGCAAATCAAACATCACCTTTAGAAACTAGAACAAGGTCTACACTTTATTATATTCACTTAAAAGTAAGATATTTTAGATTTAAATCTAGTAGACGATGAAATTGATACTATTTATTCCCTCAACTCCTTCTTATAAATATATCAGTAAAAAATCTATTAATTTTAAGAAAAACTAATGAAAAGAGCTTGAAAACTTTAAGTTTTAATGATAAGGACAAAATAAAGGGTAAAGTGAATAGTACCATGATTGATTTTTTAGTGTAAAAATGTGGTTTTTCGTTAAAATGAACAGTACCGAGTGTTTTTCGTTAAAGTTCCCTTAATTTTAACCTAAATTTCATAAGATAAAATCTCTTGTTTTGAATAAAATTTCTCACAACGCAATGAAACGGTGAAAAACCAAAGCTCATTTCACAAGCAATCAAATGAAAACCAGAACGACCAGACAAAATAACAATACAACAACAACAACAACAAAGCCTTTTCCCACTAAGTGGGGTCGGCTATATGAATCCTAGAACGCCATTGCGCTCGGTTTTGTGTCATGTCCTCCGTTAGATCCAAGTACTCTAAGTCTTTTCTTAGAGTCTCTTCCAAAGTTTTCCTAGGTCTTCCTCTACCCCTTTGGCCCTGAACCTCTGTCCCGTAGTCACATCTTCGAACCGGAGCGTCAGTCGGCCTTCTTTGCACATGTCCAAATCATCGGAGCCGATTTTCTCTCATCTTTCCTACAATTTCGGCTACTCCTACTTTACCTCGGATATCCTCATTCCCAATCTTATCCTTTCTCGTGTGCCCACACATCCCACGAAGCATCCTCATCTCCGCTACACCCATTTTGTGTACGTGTTGATGCTTCACCGCCCAACATTCTGTGCCATACAACATCGCTGGCCTTATTGCCGTCCTATAAAATTTTTCCCTTGAGCTTCAGTGGCCTACGACGGTCACACACAACACGCCGGATGCACTCTTACACTTCATCCATCCAGCTCGTATTCTATGGTTGAGATCTCCATCTAATTCTCCGTTCTCTTGCAAGATAGATCCTAGGTAGCGAAAACGGTCGCTTTTTGTGATATTCGCTAGATTGCTCCGGTCATTAGTGTGGATAAGTATATAAATGGATAGAGATAGGAAAGCAAACACAAGATGTACGTGGTTCACCCAGATTGGCTACGTCCACAGAATAGAAGAGTTCTCATTAATTGTGAAGGGTTTACACAAGTACATAGGTTCAAGCTCTCCTTTAGTGAGTACAAGTGAATGATTTTGTACAAATGACATTAGGAAATATTGTGGGAGAATGATCTCGTAATCACGAAACTTCTAAGTATCGGAGTGTGGTGTCGTCTTGACTTGCCTTATCTGTCTCATAGGTAGATGTGGCATCTTCTTCTCTGAAAGTACTCTTCCTCCATCCAGGGGTGGTATCTTTAACTGGTGGAGATGCACAAGGTAATGTATCAATTTCACTTGAAGCTTACTTGTAGTCTCAGGCTTGGTCAAGCGCGATACAAACCATGTAGTAGGAGTCCCCCAAGTCGCCGAGCTAGGGGGTCTGCTGAAAGAGGTGACAGACAAGGTAAGCAATCAGAGCTCCGACTGATTGTTCACCTTCTCCCCATCTTGCAGCAGCATGAAGGATAAAGAGAAGAAAAATGAGAAGAGATGATATGAGATACTTTTGCTTTTGAAGAAGTAACTTTCCACAGGCTTATTCTTGAACTGAGCTGGAGGGTTTTCTGGTTTACGTGGCTAGAGTTTTTTATTTTTTATTTTTTGGGGGAAAATAGAAAGACTGTTGTAAATAGTGGGTATGTTTGCCCACATGTGTATAGTAAAGTACTACATGTGTATAGTAAATACTCACATGTATATAGTAAGCCTTTCACTATGTTGCTTGTGATTTGCTTTTATAAAAGCAAATCTTATGGAACACAACAAAAAATAGGGAGATGAATGTGGGAGACTCACGGAAGAGATATGAAGGAAGAAAGGGAGAGAGAAAAGAGAGGAAGAGGAAGAGAGAAAAGAGAGGAAGATGATAGGAGATAATAGAGAGAGTTATCTTTGTACTTTTATTATTTCAGATTATAATGAAAGCACCACTGCTGTCCAGAGGACGTACTTCAGTCATACTGACTGTAGAGGAACCTCGTAAATTTTATGTCTTATTTATTTATTCTACTACATACGCCGTCGATTTTATAACAAAGACTTCTATGAAATGAAATAGTGTAAAAGGACTTGCAAGTCAATTGACTTATGGTTGACGGTGGCAGCACAGTAGGAAGTGTTTCTTCCTCACATTATATAAGAGTACGGAACTAGAAGTATAGATCTATGTATGTTCTGTGGGAGGGAGGGGGGCCGAAGAATTCTTCATTCGGCCTCATAAGTTTCTCAGCCTGAATATATAGTCATCTCTTGGATCATCCTGGTAAGTTTTCCTACCAATTGTCTATAAATATAAGATTTAGAGGCATTATTAGTATGAAATTTCTTCTTTTTTTTTCTCTTCTATTTTTCATTATAGTATATGCTGGAAAATTGTGTATATTAAATTGAACTCGGTTAGGTCATCATTTAGCCGAATTAACGAATTTCAAACCACCGTTTCATTCTTACGAGACTTCTTTATTCGCGAGCACAAACGTCACTACTTGTAGGATTCGGTTGTATGTAGCCCAATTAAATTGCTTACGTACTTTGTGCTAGAAATAAAAATCAAACCGATGTAGTTCTCTCGCCTACACCTTGCAAGAATCGAACTCGTAGGGAGGAATTGTTTGAAGGATGGAGGCTTGGAGGTTAAGCCAAACCCATCCTCATTGACATATTCTATATCTTTTAATTTATTTTCCAATAATTAAAAAAAAAGTATTACTCAAAAGACATTAGTATAATCCATGTTCTATACTGAGTGAATTACTATTTATTCAATAAATACATTAAATAAACCTGACTTTCTAAAATTTCTGTATGGTTCCAATAATAAATTTGGTAGTTTAATTAATTAACGTATTGACACTATTTGTAATTTTTGTTCTTGTTAATATATAATATTTGATTAGGTGAGTCACATCTGGAGTTTGAGATAGTTGACGATGACAGACTTAGCTGAGGAGAGCAATAGTGCAAATAGAGATCACACTGTAATTCAAGTAAGAGAGGAGGGAGAGAGATGTAAGATAGAAACGAGTGATGTGGTTAACCAAAAAACAAATAAAGACGAATTATTAGCGTCCCTCATAAAAAAAAAGCTTCCGCAGGAATTTCCAAAGCCAGATCCTACTTGCATATTCAGAGTCCCTAATAAACTTGGCAGGGACAATGAAAATGCTTTTGTCCCACAAGCGGTTCCAATCGGGCCCTATCACCACGGAGGAAAAAAGTTCGAAGCCATGGAACAAATTAAGCTATGGAATTTGCAATGCCTCCTCAAACGCAAACCAACTCCAGACACCAGTTTGGTGAAGTTTGTCAAGGAAATTCGAAGCAAAGAAGAGTTACTTCGTAACTGCTATGACGAAAAGCTTGGTGATCATCTCAGTAGCGATCAGTTTGTAGAAATGATGGTGGTCGATGGTTGCTTTACTTTAGAACTTATCCGCAAAAGGAATCCGATTTCCAGAGATCATGATGTTTTCAGTATGCCAGAGATGTTGTGGATGGTTGAAAAAGACTTGTTCCTGCTTGAAAACCAGCTCCCGTGGAAAGTTCTCGACTGTTTATTCAACCTCACAAGAACTTCAATAGAGATTTCTCTACAACAACTTACTTCGGAATTAATTTGCCAAGTCATGGATAATTCGTGTATGCACACTTACTTCATTTTACTAATTATGGATAATGAAAGGGAGACATGGCAATTCAGACATTTACTTGACAATGCAAGAGATTAGCTCGTTGGATCATTATCGAGGAATATGGACCGTCCACGTCCTTATCGATTTTGGGATCCTATTCCCTCAGTGACACATGTTGAGGAGATTGGAGTCAAATTTCAATGTGCATCCTCGGAGACACAGCTGTTGGGCATAACCTTCAACAAGAAAGATGGAGTGATGAAAATTCCATATATGAAAATTGGAGCCAACACAGAATGCGTCTTTAGAAACCTCATAGCCTACGAACGGTGTTCAATGAATCCCCATTACATTTTGTCTTATGCCATGCTGCTGAATCAGCTTATCAAGTCTACCAAAGATTTAGACTCTCTCGTTCGGAAAGAAATTGTAGTAACCGACCTGAGCAAGGAAGACACTGTTTCTTTGTTGAATAGGCTTTGCAATGACACTGCATTCATTCCGTTCATTTACTCTCAACTCTCCTTTGACGTGTATTTCTATAATCGAGATCGTTGGCTAAGGCGTTGGCTTGCAAGGATCAAAAGGGATTATCTGTACAATCCATCGTCAATCTGGTCAGTCTCAAATGCGGTCATCATTATTCTCATTCTCACCACCATGCAGACCCTATATATGGTGTTCTCGCCTACCACAATTAGTAACCTTCCAATCAGTCAATGTTCGCCGGAGGACAAAAAATTCAACGAGACTTGTGTGACTGCAGGCAAAGTTATGAAATAAAGCAGTGCTGTAATTGATTATGTGTGACAGTCATACAGTTTGGAACTACCTTGCCATTTATTGTTTTCAACTTCTGGATAATTTGTATAACTACTTGGTATTTTTTTTTATCATCATTCAACAGTTTATCATGAATATATTACTTGGTATGACGTTGATTTGTTCTATACATTTACTAAATAATCTCCGATTGAAGTGATTTTTTGTTAGGAGTGATCTTCAAATGAAGATTAAGAAATTGAACGATTCCGATTATAAAATTTGTACGGTGAAAGGAACGTTATTCAAAAAATAAATGCCATAGCATTGAATTCGATGAAGGTGGTTTTGCTTACGAAGCAAAGCCTGCAAAACCCTAGAGGAAGTTTGGAAGAAAACTCTGCAGTCTATACATTCCATTCTGCAGACTGATTGTGTTTATTCTTCTTCTTCATAGTAAATTTCTATGCATTAGACTCAAAGATTATGTAAAGAACCAAAAAAAAAAACAAAAAAATGAAGGATCATTACTCTGTAGGAGTTAGCGTGGTTTCCGAATGTTGCTCACCCTCTGGTTCAGCAGGAGCCTCTGGTTTTGATAAAACAGGGGCACTTGCAGCTGCAGCTCCAGCTGCGGTTGGTGAATTAATTTTTCCATTCTTCGCATCCTTTCCTTCCTTTGCATCCTTTCCTCCTTTTCTCCTTTTGCATCTTTTGTATCCTTTCCATCCTTTGAATCCTTTACATCCTTTCCTTCTTTTTCTCCCTTTGCATCCTTGCCATCTTTGGCAGGTGGGGGCAGCATCATGTGTGGCGGAGGGTTCTGTTTCAACTTCAGGAAAATCTACCGCATCCTTGAAAGATCAGTCGGTTTACCAGGTTTTGGGCCCTGGTGAAAACAATTGGGGGTTGCTTGTCAGGATCTTTCTACCCTCTCTTCTTCTCAATATTAGGAACCTCACGAGGAATCATTTGTCAGCTTCTTTGTGGAACTTCTCTTGGTTGGCCAGGTACAGCTGCACAGAAAGTCAAATTCACGCCATAGATATGAAGCACTGATGGTAATCGTAGAATGCATGTACAAGCGAGCAAGGGAGAGGGAGGGAGGGTGAGAGAGTTAGGACTGTGGAAGATGTAGAACAACATGATGGGTTTTAGAATTACTACCTTCTCCCTCTCTCTGTTGTGAGCTTTGTTAGTTTCACAATTGAGCTTCCGTTTCTCATAGAAGGCCCGCTTAAATTCTTCAGCTTCCTCGATAATTTGGTTCCGCATCTCCCTTTAGCTTTTTTCCTTTTCCTCTAGATGAATGACATTTAGGCTGCAAGTATTAACGCCATCAGTGCAGGGGAAAACACTGGGAAAAAAAAAAAGATGTGATTTCTGAACTCATTTGTTTAAAATAATTATAAGAAGCAAAACCAACAAGCTTTCATTATCTCGTTTGGTTAAGCATCTAACAAGTAAAACCAATAATGCAGAGACCCAGGAGTTCACTATGTTCTCAGGCTCTCGGCCAACCATACAAGGAACTCCAACGTTGGTTTAACCATAAAGGTATGAAAATCTACAGGATTGGGTGATCGCAATAGAAAAAATTAGTATAAAAATGTTGCATAGCCTAGTACGATAGTACAATGGAATGGAATCTGGGAAACGCTAGCACTTGGAACCCCTTAATCCTGAAAGAAGCAATATACACAGCTAACATGGAATCCACTGGCAATTCAACAACATCTAGTTTCTATCCAGTGAACCAGAAGTGAATATTAGGTTCCTTTTAAAGACTAGAAGAGTCATTGTAATCCATCTTAAATGATGGTCTGTTACCTGCCATTAGTTCCTATACCAACGGTCGGAATCAGACGAATTAGTACATATGCAATGATCCGGTCAAGATCTGAGCTCATTTTTCAACCTCAACGGAGGTAACCGCGAAGTAACAACATAGGGCAGATCCCATGGAAGCTATTAGACAATTAGTAAAAGATGAATGCTTACAAAACTGAAAACAAAAACATTTAATCAAAGAAAAAAATACATACTTGATCACAAAGGGCTTGCAGCCTTGCAAACTTGCAGACAAAAACCCCAATATTCGAAGACCAACGTTTCCTGAAAGCAAAAATCAAACCAGATCAGACAACCAAAAGCAAATCACCAAAAAAATTTAAATCAGGTACACAAAAATAAAACCAGTTCGATATTGAGACCTTAAGAAATCTTGGCGTCGGGGACGTCGTTGACCGAGTGCTTCTTATCCTCGAACTGGAGCTGGTGACCACCGGGAAGTTCGCTGTTCTGTTTGGCCAAGAATTTGGAGCTTCGGAGAGAAAGCTATGCAGGAAAATTAAAGTAGATGGAGTTGACGAAGGGTAGCTAAATCGGAGTTGGACGATAACGGCAAATGGAGAACGAAGGGTTTCTGGGAGAGAGAGGGAGAGAGAACAACAGAGAAAAAGGGAGAGGGAGCAAACGAAACCAAAACCACAGAAGCCAAAACAATCGAACTCGAATTAGAGGAAAACAAGTGACAAGCAACAGAAGGAAAACTAGTGAAATGAAAGGGAAGATTGCCAGAAGACGTTGCGATGGTCGACAGGTGGAGAGGAAGGGCAAAAACGCCTTTTTACTGTAGAGAATCCTAAACAAAAGGCAGCCAGCACAGCATTGTAAGGGCATTTTCATCAGTTTGGGTTTTATGTTGTGACCTGTGAATAATATTTGGATGGTCCACATGAATAGTTTATTACTATGTATGTACAGTATTTTTACTATTTATTTGTGAAAAATTTGTAAAGTAAATAGTGTAAAAAGACTTGCAAGTCTATTGACTTTGAGTGTTGAGAGTCTTTCATTCTAATATTGTATGAGTTTGGAACTCATAATTTTCTTCATCCGACCTCATAAGTTTCTCAAAGTTGGATGGATCATCCTGGTAAGTTTTCCTACCAATTGCCTACAAATATTGGACGTTTTAGATCTCGAGGAATTATTAGTATGAAATTTCTGTTTTTTCTATTTTTAATTATAGTTTATTCTGAAAAATTATGTATATTAAATGGATCCCACCTAGTGGAATAATGAAATTCAAACCTCTCATCTTGTTCTTGCGAGTCTTCTTTGTTCGCGAACACAAAAATCATTACTTGTAGAATTCGGTTGCATCTAGCTTAGTTAGATTGCTTATGTACCATGTTCTCTCACACCAACATATCTAGGCTTCTCCTTGCTAGATTCGAACTCCAAGGAGAGAGATTTGTGTCAAGGCTGTCTGTGAGGGAGAAATTCCACGAAGGAATTTTGGCTCATAACCATGCCCAATGACTTGTATATAGTATGATATTGACAAACTTTTGGTACACTAATTATTCAATTCACATAGTATGATATTGACAATGCCATTCTTACTGGCCATTTATTTTAGGGAACTTTAACGAAACGCTCATAGTACAGTTCACTTTAACGAAAAACCACATTTGTACACTAAAAAGTCAATCATGGTACTATTCACTTTACCATTTATTTTGTCCTTATCATTAAAACTCAAAATTTTCAAATCTTTTTTTATTAGTTTTCCTTTTATTTTATTCCCAAATCTGAATTCTTTTTAAACTTTTATTCACTGATGCTTTTAGCCCAAAACCCTTTTAAGCCTTCAATTAGGCCTTTAGCCCAACCTATTTTTAAAAGTTTAAAATTACCAACAACAAAAATTAATAATTCATAATTCACATTTCATACATATATAGTAACTCAAGTCATGCACAAAAATTTAAGATAAAAGCTAAGTTACAAATTAAATACAAGTTAAATTATAAACCAAATGAAACGTGAAAAGTATCTGAATTTCAAAATTTATTCCAGGCACCATTTTCTTCGATCTTAAGATGTAAAAGCATTTGGATAAGGCATGGATATAAAACTACCATATTTGGTGTTGCTAATGCCTTAATCTTCTCTGATAAAAAACACTTATATTCTGTAAATTAAACAGAAAATTTGATTATCATCTTTTAATACATGTACATATAATTAATCTAAAGAGTACCTTTCTCGTTATAACCCGCTCGAACCCAACCCAATTTCAACCTATTCATTGATTGGATTGAGTTGGGTTGATTATTTGCCTGTTCATCTCTAACCCAACTCAACCCAACTAGCGAAACTCAATCTAACAAAATTGTAACCCATATCAATTAATGCTCATACTACACCCAAGTGAGCCAGGTCCAAAAACCAACGCGCTTTCTAATATTTTTTTTAATAAATTACCCTTTATAATTACTTAACCTTTTAGGGAATAAGAGACTTTAATTAGTCAGCTCATATTTGTAGTCTCTAAATCCTAAAGCTTTATAGTAGATGAATTTATGAAATTAAAGTTAGCTAGCTTTAATGCTACTTGGCTTAATTTTTTTAGGAATTCTTAAAAACTAAGTTGTTACAAGATTAAACTTGAAAAAGTTGGGCAACCCAAACCCAACCTAAGTAAACCCTAACCCAATTAAACCCAAGCCCAAATGAACCCGAATGAAACCTAACTCGAACCTAAGCTCAAATTGTAAAAGTTGGGTTAGAATTGGGTTGACCTTCCAATCCACCCAGCCCGCTTGAGTTGCACCCCTAAATAATGTCAAGGTTTTAGACGGGATAAATAAGCAGGTGTAAGGAAGATAAAATAGGTGGGGCCAGATTAATAGTCCGGTGCTTATTTAGTAAAAAAATTCATGAAACACCTGCTTCGCATTATATAATACTATCTGATGTCTTATACAGTGTGCCAAACGAGGCCATAGAGTATTAAAATTGGGACCGAAAACAGATTTCAAAACTTTCAGATTATAACCTAAAGAGTATTTTTTAGGCCCTCAAGTTTAAATGCCCCATTAAGTCCAACCATTGAATAATTTTAATTCATGCTTTCAAAATCATCAAATTCTACAATTTCAAGAGAAACCTCTATGTATATTTGTCTTGCTAGGGGTTAGGTGGAGGTTTGGATCTTAACCCAAGCCTATCATCCTTGGCATATTCTATATCTTTTAATTTATTTTCCAGTAATTAAAAATATTTTACCAAAGAGAGTATAAATATATTGGATGGATTGTTGTTTATTTAGTAAATACATTAAATAAATCTAGCAGTATAAAATTTCTGTACGGTTCCAATAATAAATTTGGTAGTTTAATTAATTAATGTGTTGATATTGTTTGTAATTTTTGCTCTTGTTAATATAAAATTCCAGATTAGGCAAGTCACATTTGAGTTGGAAAGATTTGACAATAACAGACTCAGCTGATGGGAGCAATGCAAACTGTGACCACTCCGTAATTGAAGTAAGAGAGTAGGTAGAGAGATGTGAGATAGAAATAAGTGATGTGGGTAACCAAACTTTGAGCGGAAACAAAAACAATCAAGACGAATTATTAGCGTCCCTCATCGAAACAAAGCTTCCCCAGAAATTATCAGAAGCAGATCCTACTTGCATATTTAGAGTCCCTAATAAACTTGCCAGGGACAATGAAAATGCTTTTGTTCCACAACTGGTTTCAATCGGGCCGTATCACCACGGAGGAAAAAAGTTGCAAGCTATGGAACAAATTAAGCTATGGAATTTGCAACGCCTCCTCGATCGCAAACCAACTCCAGACACCAGTTTGGTGAAGTTTGTCAAAGAAATTAGAAGCAGAGAAGAGTTTCTTCGTAGCTGCTATGACGAAAAGATTGATCATCTGAGTAGCGATCAGTTTGTAGAAATGATGGTGGCCGATGGTTGCTTTATTATACAAGTTATCCGCGCATGCATGGTGAATAAAGATCGTGATCCTTATGGTGTTTTGAGTCTGCCAGGGATGTTGTCGAGAGTTCAAAACGACTTGTTTCTGCTTGAAAACCAGCTTCCGTGGAAAGTTCTCGACTGCTTATTCAACCTCACAACATCAGACAAGTCTTCTCTACATGAACTCACTTTGGACCTAACTTGCGAAATTATGAATAATCCGATTATTACTTATTACTTAGGATACAAATTTATGGATAAGCTTAGGACGACATGGCAATTTAGACATTTACTCACCAATGTAAGAGATTTGCTTGTTGGATCATCAACGAGGAATGAGGACATTGAGGAGATGCGTTACAAATACTGGACTGCTATTCCCTCAGTGACACATCTTGAGGAAATTGGAGTCCAATTTCAATGTGCACCCCTGCATACATGTCTGTTGAACATAAATTTCAACTTCGAAAAGGGAGTGATGGAAATTCCGTGGATGAAAATTCGAGCGAACACAGAATCTCTCTTCAGAAACCTCATAGCATACGAACAGTGTTCACTGATGCCCCATTACATTTTGTCCTATGCCACGATGTTCAATCAGCTCATCAAGTCTACCAAAGATTTAGACCATCTCATTCAGAAAGGAATTATATACACCGAGTTGAGCAAGGAGGACACTGTTTTTTTGTTCAGAAGGCTTTGCAATGACACTGAATGTATCTCGTTCCTTTACTCTAAACTCGCAAACGATGTGGATAGATATTCGCACTGTCATTGGCGAAGGAGTTGGCTTGCAGGGATCAAAAGGGATTATCTATACAATCCATCGTCAATCTGGTCAGTTTCAAATGCGGTCATCATTGTTCTCATTCTTACCATCATACAAACCGTATATAGTGTTCTCGCCTACTACAAACAGTAATTAAAACTGAACAAGACTTGCTTGACTGCAGGCAAAGTTATGAAATAATCACTCTTTGAGTTTGCATTTGTTTGGCTATTTTCCATATAAAATAAAGCGGTGATGTAATTGATTATGTGTAACAGTCATACACTGAAACTATCTTGCCATTTATTGTTTTCAACTTTTGGATAATTTGTACCACTATTTGGTATTTGTTTATCATCATTCAACACTTCATCATTAAGAATAATGAAATTGGTGTTTTCATTCATTTGAATGACTAAATGATTTCCGATTAAAATAATTTTTTGTCACGGTGATCTTTCAAATGAAAATTAAGAAATTGAACGATTCTAATTATGAAATTTGTACGATCAAAGATATGTTTTTCACAAGGGAGGAATGAGCTTATCCCCCAAGGGAGAATGCAAGTTTATGCAAAAAAAATAAATGTGAAAAATTGAATTCGATGAAGTTGTTTTCCCTTAGAAACTAAGCCTACAAAACCCTAGAGCAAGTTAGGAAGAAAATATCTGCAGTCTGTACATTCCATGCTGCAGACTCTGGATCATTGACAAATGATTTTGTTTATTCTTCGTAGTAAATTTCTAAGCAATAGAATCAAAGATAACGTAAAAAATGAAAAAAAATATGAAGGGTCATTACTCCGCAGGAGTTGGCGTGGCTTCCAAATGTTGCTCACCCTCTGGTTCAGCTGAAGCCTCTGGTTTGATGAGCCGGGAGTACCATTGGCAGTGACATCTTTGGCAGGTGAAACAGGTGCGCTTGCAGCTGCAGCTCCAGCTGCGGTTGGTGAATTAATTTTTCCATTCTTCGCATCCTTTCCTTCCTTTGCATCCTTTCCTCCTTCCTTGGCATCCTTTGTGTCCTTTCCTCCTTCCTTGGCATCCTTTGCGTCCGTTCCTTCTTCCTTTGCGCCCTTTCCTCCCTTTGCATCTTTTGTATCATTGCCATCCTTTGACTCCTTTCCATCTTTTTCTCCCTTTGCATCCTTACCATCTTTGGAAGGTGGGGGTGGCATCATGTGCGGCGGTGGGTTCTGTTTCAGCTTCAGGAAAATCTGCCGCATCCTTGAAAGATCAGTCGGTTTACCAGGTTTTGGGCCCTGGATGACAACAATTGAGGGCTTCTTGTCAGGATCCTTCTTCCCTCTCTTCTTCTCAATATTAGGAACCTCACGAGGAATCAGCTCCGCTATTGCTTTCCAGTAATGTTTGTCAGCTTCTTTGTGGAACTTCTCTTGGTTGGCCAAGTACAGCTGCACAGAAAGTCAAATTCACGTCTTAGATATGAAGCACTGATGGTGATCGAAGAATGCATGTACAAGCAAATAAGGGAGAGGGAGGGAGGGTGAGAGAATTATGATTACGGGAGAGGTAGAACAACATGATGGGTTTTTAGAATTACTACCTTCTCCCTTTCTCTGTTGTGAGCTTTGTTAGTTTCACAATTGAGCTTCCGTTTCTCGTAGAAGGCCCGCTTAAATTCTTCAGCTTCCTCAATAATCCGGTTCCGCATCTCCCTTTCCCTTTTTTCCTTTTCCTCTAGATGAATGACATTTAGGCTGCAAGTATTGAGCCAACAGGTCAAATCAAAATATTTTCAATGACTTTTATCAGTGCAAGGGAAAACATGTGATTTCTGAACTCATTTGTTTCAAATAATTATACAAAGCAAAACCGACAAGCAATATACCTAAATTCAGAAACCCATATTCCCAAAAGAAGCAATATACCTAGGTAACATGGAACCCATTGGCAATTCAACATCTAGTTTCTATCCAGTGAACCAGAAGTGAATCTTAGGTTCCTCTTAACGACTAGACATTGTCTCCATGTAATATCATGGCCTGTTACTTGCCATTAGTTCCGATACAAATGGTCGGAATCTGCTAACGAAAACAATCAAAAAAGGAAAGACGAATTCGCACATAAGCAATGATCCAGTCAAGATCTAAGCTCATTTTGCAAGCAAATCAATCAAAGTTACCCCATTTCAAATCTACACGCACAAAAACTCCTACAGTAAAGACGACTTTTTTACTTACCCTCATATCCCACTTACCAAATACTTGGACTAAGCTCAACATCGTTAATTCAGACCCCAAACTAATAAGAACAAGATGTTATTTAAGCCCCTTAATCCCATGCATGCACAACATTATTAATCATAAAACAGCTTTTAAATCCAACTTAATCAAATAATTAGTGTCATGGTTATAATTAAGCTCTGTGTTTGCAAGCGAACAACTTCCATTCAGAATCGGAATCTTTAATAATTATATGGTCAAATTAACAAATTAGGATCTGAGCTCACCGACGCCACTCACGGCGAGCAAAGCCTTCCTCCCGCATCTCCTCGGGCGGAGGCAGTACCGGCTCACCGGAGGCGAAAATGTCCCCGTCGTCATCAGCAATGCCGCCACCGCCACCCACGACGCCATTGTCCTCGGGCACCGCCGAATCAAAAGGTGACACGAATTCCGGGTTAGGGGTGGAAATGCCGAAGCCGTACACCTCGGGGGACTGCTGCTGCTGATCAATGTTGTGGTGGCCGTCGCCACCGGGGAGAACGACGTCGTCCTGGAAATCAGAGTGGAGGGGAGGGGGAGGGTCGACGGCGGCGGGGGAGAAGTCGTCGTGGTGGGTGGGAGGGTTGAACGACGAGTCGTAGTTATGGGAAGGAAGGCCGGGGTCGTGAGCCATGTAGGCATCGTCGTCGAAGGGCTGGCCGGCGGGGGAGTGGCTGTGGAGGTCGTTGGATTCGTCGTCGTTGGGGAAGGAGTCGAAGGACGACATCGTTCAGAGGGGAAACGGTCTTGTCGCAGAGTAATTGAGGTAATGGCCTTAAAGCTTGTTTTGATCAAGTGCGATCGGCATGTTCGGATCGAGAGAGAGAGTGCGTGGCAGTGAATGATCATTTAGTGTATGATCATATGAGAGTTTCTCTCTCTGTCGCTCGGAATTGCTACGTGTGTTGGAGCCATAATTGTTGGTGCGATGGGAGCATTTGGAGTTGCTACGTGCATTTGTAGTTCGAATCTTTTGGCATTCATTTGTGCATGGGGACTCTTGTGACTATCTTGAAAATTTGACACCTATTCATTCACCTAACAAAACTTAATACTTGTTAAGTCTTCTGTTATCTCCTATTTAATTAAAAAATTAAATGAGAAGCGATGCAAAAGGCAATCTAATGCGAGGTGTATTTTTCAATTTTTTTTTTCTTTCTAATTTTTTGTCATTTTTCCTGCATACCCTGAGATTTGAATATCAGACTCCCAAAGTGTTGATTTTTGAGTTCAACGAAGTGTGTATATTTTTCATAAACAAGAATTACAAGACAAAGGTCTCATAAAAGGAGACAAAGCAAGGAAGAAAAAACCTACCCAATAAACAAATGCAAACAGCTACATAGTAGTAACTAGAGAGAGAAAAGGCTAGCCCTAGATACAACTCACAATTAGAAGACATAAACCCTAGAATTAAGGAATAACACAAAGTGACGGTTTAGTGGCAGCTGCAACTCTACCCGAAAATAAGGAAAGAGTTGTAGTCACAACTTGACTTTGAGCCACTGACATCTAACCCATGCTTCTAACCCATCAGTTTCAATACTCCCCCTCAAGTTGGATCAAGGGGGTTGATTGATCCAAGCTTGCTCAGGTATCTTTGGAAATGAGTAGAGTCGAAAGCTTTTGTAAACAAGTCAGCAAGTTGATCATAACTTCGAGTATACACGGTGTTGATGACTTTGGATTGGACTTGTGCACATATGTAATGGCAATCAACTTCAATGTGCTTTGTTCTTTCGTGGAAGACCGGATTTGAAGCTATATGCATGGCAGCTTGGTTGTCATAAAACAAGGACATAGGTTCCTTGTTGACGTAGCCAAGATCCGTTAGGAGACTTTTTAACCAAATTAATTCACAAGCCATGGCTGCCATGGCTCTATATTCAGCCTCAGCACTTGATCTCGCAACCACAGTTTGTTTTTTACTCTTCCATGCCACAAGATTGCCACCAATAAAAGTACAGAAACCAGTGGTAGACTTGCGATTGAGGGCATTACCTACCCAGTCAGCATCAGTGTATACCATAATATGATTTGAACCATGTTTTGGCATGAGTAAGCCTCTGCCAATGGGTCCCTTCAAGTATCTGTGTATCCTTTTGACACTCTCCTAGTGAATCATAGAGGGATAGTGCATAAATTGACTGACAAAACTTACAGAATAAGCAATATCAAGTCTGGTGATAGTGAGGTAAATTAGTTTTCTTACCATACGTTGATAAACCCTAGGGTTTGGTAGTGGTTCACTATATGTATCTACTTGAAGTCTACTCACCAGAGGAGTAGAAGCGGGCTTGCAATTCAACATGCCAGCTTCATCCAACAGATCAAGAACATACCTCCTTTGATTTAAGAACAGACCCTTGGAGGAAGTAGCCACTTCAATGCCAAGAAAGTACTTTAAGTTTCCCAAATCCTTAATGGAAAATTGTTGATGAAGAGAGGATTTAAGGGCATTTATTTCTTCTATGTTATCACTTGTTATAATAAGATCATCAACATATATAAGAACAACTAGTTTGCCACTTATACCAGTGCGAACAAATAACGAGGAATCGGCATGGCTCCTTGTGAATCCTGCAGCTTCAAGGACTGAACTTAACTTCGAGTACCAAGCTCGGGGAGATTGCTTTAGTCCATATATGGCCTTATGAAGCTTGCAAACTTTGTTAGTTTCATGCTCTTGTGGATGTCCGGGAGGAAGCTTCATGTACACTTTTTCTTCGAGGTCACCATGAAGAAATGCATTCTTCACATCCATTTGAAATAGGGACCAATCAAGATTGACTGCCACAGATAACAACACTCGTACAATACTCATTGTGGCTACGGGAGCAAATGTCTCCTTGTAGTCAATGCCATAAGTTTGAGTAAAGCCACGGGCTACTAAACGAGCCTTATGTCTTTCAATGTTGCCATTTGAATGAAACTTGGTCTTGTATATCCACCTACTCCCTACTGCTCTTTTTCCTTTTAGAAGATCAACCACACTCTATGTTTGGTTGTTGTTTAGTGCTTGAAGCTCTTCTTTCATAGCTTTCTGCCATACTGGAATGTGAGCAGCTTCATTAAAATTTATTGGTTCATCATTTGTGGACAATTGATGTAGAAAAGCTGCATATGATGGTGACAGTTTTGATAGGTTAAGGCTTTGGAGATTGGATGGCTTGCCGTGTACGTAACATACTCTTACAGCCTTAGAAGAGGATGCCTGTCACAAGTAGGGTTTCTTCGTGATGCCAAGACAGGTTGAGGAGTAGTGCCTGAGCTTCCTTGATCATGAGATGTTTCCTTACCATCATGTTATTCTGAGTGGTGGTCAAGATAAACATTGAATTCATATAGATTTGCTGGAGTGGGCAAAGGAAAAATGTCCAGTAGGTTCTCCCCCTGAGGTTCTTCAATGCTATTTTTGTGAAAGAAAAGGGCATTCTCATCAAATCGAACTTCCCTTGAGACACCAATCTTTCCATTAAGAGGATTTTAATATTTGTATCCATTTTAAGTGCTCGAGTATCCTATAAAGGCATTCTTGACAGCTCTGGGATCAAGCTTGTCTCGATGTGCAGCTTGAATATGGACATAACATGTGCATCCAAAAGTTCTCAGGTGTGAGATGTCAATAGTTTTTCCCTTCATTACTTCAACAGGTGATTTTGAATTCAATACACGGGTAGGTAACCTGTTGATGATGTAGGCTGCAGTGAGGAAAGCCTGAGACCAAAACCTTCTAAGAACATACATTTGAAGCATAAGAGATATGGATTTCTCTAATAAGTCACGGATTTTTCTCTCGGCTACATCATTCAGTTGTGGTGTACCAACACAGCTGGTTTGATGTAAAATCCCATGATTGCTCAAATAATTAGACCTATTGTTGGATGTATACTCAATGCCATTATTCGATTGTAAAATGTTTAACTTAGAGGATAATTGGTTTAAGATTAATTGATGAAAGTCTTTGAAAGCATCAAAGAATTCACTTTTGAATTTCAAAAGGTAAATCCAAGTGCTACGAGAATAGTCATCAATAAAGGTGGCATAATATTTATATCCATCAAATGATTCTACACAGGAAGGACCCCAAATATTTGAATGAACAACCTCAAACAGTTTACTGGTTCTAGACTTGGAAGAAACAAAAGGAAGCCTAGTAGCTTTTGACATTTGACAGACTACACATTCATGTGTGGTTTTACAAAAATTTGGAAATAGTTAGTTCATCACAGGTTCTGAGGGATGGGCCAATCGAAGGTGCCAAAGTTGGTACTCTTGAGGAAGACTTAGGCTGGCAAAAGGATGCTTAACATGCTTGAGCTTCTTTGAAAGATAGTAGAGTCCATTCAATAGAAACCCTTCACCAATCTTCTTCTAGGTGACTCGATCCTAAAATACAACATTGTGAGGAGAGAATATGGCAAGGCAATTTAGTGTGGTTGTGAGTTTTCCTATGGACAAAAGCTGGAAGGGAAATGAAGGCACATACAAAGTTGTTAACTCAATCTCATCACTTAACAGTTTAAGTTTACCTTTTCCCATAATAGGTTCTCCTTTCCCATTTGTTACAGACAAAAGTGAAGACTCGGGCATATTTTGAAACTTATCTAAGCAAGAAGATTTATTTGTTATATGATTTGTGGCACTTAAGTCTATGATCCAACAATCATGCGTAATTTCATTGAGAGAAGTGGAGAGGGCAGAGATAATACCTGAACCATTGTTTTGGGTTGTGGTCTCATTCAAGAAGCCTGCAAATTTTCCAAGCATGGCAGTAGGATTCTTAGAGAACACTTCCTCTTCCTCAGTGGTGCCTCATCTCCTTTGAAGAAAGCTTGCAAATTCATTTATCAAATCTATGGGATTTGCAGTGAAGTTTGGAAAACCACCAGTCAACGAGCTAGTTGAATGGAGAGCCATTGGAAAAATTCCCTTGCCTTCTTTGATCATTCTTCCCTCCTTATCAAACTTTGGCTTTAACTCAGGATGTAGGATCCAGCATTTTCCCCTTATGTGCCCTTTCATGTTACAGTAGGTACATTTCCAATCTGTCTTCTTTCCAGTAAAAATTTTTTCACCAATGTATTTATGATTGCTGGTGAAAACCCTTACCTCAGAGTTGGACTTAGGTTCAATGTGCATGACTTTTCTTCGAGTTTCCTCCCGTTGGACAGCTTGACAAACACTATTAAATAAGGGCAGATCTGCAGTCATCAGCAAGTGACTTCGAAGATCTTCATATTCTGCTCCAAGGCTTGCCAGAAGTTGAAACACTTTGTCTTCATCAGCTCTTTTGAGGAGTGCAGCGGAATCTGTTGTATGTGGACAATACATGTCAAGTTCGCTCCACATAGACTTCATGCTCCCAAGGTGTTGCACGAAAGATTGATCACCTTGCCTTAGCCCAGTGAGATCCTTCTTGAGTTGAAATATACGAGCAGCATTGTTTTGGCTGCCATACATCTCTTTGATAGATTCCCACAAAACATGAGAAGATTCTGAGTAACTAAAGAGTTCAGACAGCTTAGGTTCCATAGAGTTAAGTATCCATGACATAACAAGCTGATTGTTTGCATGCCATGCACCATACAATGTAGAGGATGGTTCAGGTGCTTTAATGCTTCCATTGGCATACCCTAGCTTCGATCTTCCACCTAGGGCAAGAGAGATGGCGCGAGACCATGGTAGGCAATTAAACTCGTTTAATAACACTGAGCACAGGCGCAGATTTGGATTGATTTCACCATAAATCACACTGGAAGGTAAAGTGTTTGACAAGCTTGCTGCCTCTCGGCTTAAAGTCTGGTCTTCTACCATGATAGTGAACGAAGAGCAGAAGACACCAAGAAAGAAAGAAATTTTTTGAATGGAATGGATTCAAAAACAAAGGCAGGACCCTATGGTTCCTGCTCTGATACCATGTTGATTTTTGAGTTCAACAAAGTGTGTATATTTTTCATAAACAAGAATTACAAGGGAGAGGTCTCATAAAAGGAGACAAAGCAAGGAAGAAAAAAACCTACCCAATAAACAAATGCAAACAGCTACATAGTAGTAACTAGAGAGAAAAAAGGTTAGCCCTAGATACAACTCACAAGAAATCTACTAGAAGACATAAACCCTAGAATTAAGGAATAACACAAAGTGACGGTTTAGTGGCAGCTGCAACTCTACCCGAAAATAAGGAAAGAGTTGTAGTCACAACTTGACTTTGAGCCACTGACATCTAACCCATGCTTCTAACCCATCAGTTTCAATACAAAGCCACTAAATTTAGTATAGATAATATATTTTCTTAAACAATTTCATAAAGAATAATGTGTACTTTCAATAATTCCTCACTGGTAGTCTAGTAGGATGCATTGACTCGTGACAAATCAACCCATTAGGTTGTTAATAAGTACTCATTAAGACTCATTTAATTTAATATTATCATAATATAGAGATTAGACTGGTAGTTGTGATGATGATATAAGGTGAAATCAAACTAAATGAGTTTTAATGGTACCCATTAATAACCCAATAGGTTGATCGTCACCTTTACTTGTGTCTCATCTTCATTCCCTTTCCGATTAAAAAAGTACCTCACATCACTTAGAACAATGGTGTATTAATATTCCCCTTTACTAATAAGTGAGAAGTTTTATGTTCGATTCTCGTAAAAAACGAATTTAAATCATATTATTACTAATACATTATGAAGCTTAGACCATCTTCTCACTTTTAATATAGATAATATTGTTCGTTACAAAAAATAAAAAATAAAAACAAAAAAATTAGCTCACTAAATGACCACCGTCCTACCTCTCAAAGTCAAATTTATAAAGAGCAACTCTGCCCAAACTAGGCAAACTAATAAAGTCACAGGTTGGCCTTATTTTTCTGGTAAATGATATGATATGATATGATATCATACTTGCACCAAGAAAGATACGGTGTCTAGTTCGCGTTTATCTTTCCATCGCGGAGACGTGTAAGCTAACATACTCACACAATCCACCTAAATCAATGCGAATTAAATAACAGTCGGCAAATTTTTTTATTTTTTTATTTTTTAAAAAAGGTTTAGAACAGTCAGAATTATTGGTAGCCACTAGTTCATGCATGCAATGCTAACCAAGTAAACCATGCAGACACTCAAGTGTCTCTACAGCCACAAGATATATCCTGATGGCCCCCGCTCCACTCCAATAATTTGTTTCTCTCTTCTTCTTCTCCATTAATCTTTGGTGAAGGGTTTAGGAGGTTTTTCTGAAACATTCAAGAGGAGATAGAGGAGGAGGAGGATATACGTTGGAGATGAAAATTCAGTGTGATGTGTGTGAGAAGGCTCAGGCGACGGTGATTTGCTGCGCCGATGAGGCGGCGCTGTGCGCCAAATGTGACGTGGAAGTACATGCAGCGAATAAGCTTGCAAGCAAGCACCAGAGGCTTCTCCTCGAGTGTCTCTCAAAGTCAAACAAACTCCCTAGATGTGACATATGCCAAGTGATTTCTTTTTCTTTCACTTAATTCCCCATTTTCTTCTGAGTGAGCATATTCCAATCACCAATTTTGATTTTCCTTATTTTTGCTGGATTTTGTTTACTTTTCGAAATTCATCTGTTCATTCAAGTAATATATTAACTCTCTCTGCTCAATTGTAGTAATTTTTTCGCTAATATCTGTACCAAGTCCAAATCTTTTTCTTTTAGTTTAGATGAATCAGTAGATTATAATTTATCTTATCGTTTGTAAAATAAAAAATTGTAGTAACTTTACCTTTTAATGCAGATAAGTTTTTAGGGTTTGAACCCCGTCCAAGGCCTTGAACATTTTAATAGTGCTAGTAGTTTTTCCCAAAACCAAGTGAAAACCAATAGAGAGGCAGAAGTACTGGATGTCACGGTTTAATTAGTATACTGAGATGTCCAGTGTAGATGCATGCCCATATGGTATTTCAAATTTTCAACACACTCCTCTCATGTCACGTCGATTAATTATATTGAGTGAGGTTGAGCGCATGATTCGAAGTTGAGTTTGGCGTGAATGAATTGTCCGCGCGCTCTGATACTATGTTATAGTTGTAGCTAGCATCGGATATGCGAATGAGGTTTCAATGTTCGTGTTAGCATCACTAAATGATCTGATGAGTTTGCCAAGTTCTCTTATAGTGCCTCAAGTTTCAGTCTCGCGTTGGTTGGTTGGTTGTTTGTTTCTCTCATATATATTGTGATTTGCAGGACAAGGCAGCTTTTATATTCTGCGTCGAAGACAGAGCCCTCATTTGTCAGGATTGCGACGAATCGATTCATTCAGCGAATAGCCGCGCTGCAAACCACCAGAGGTTCCTAGCCACTGGAATCCGAGTGGCTTTGAACTCCGGTTGTTCTAAGGACACTGAACCGAATAGCTTGGAGCCACCCAGTAGTCACAGCTCACACACGATCGTTTCAACAAAAGTTCCAACACCACAGGCTTCTGGTTTCTCGTCCCCTTGGGGTGTTGATGACTTGCTGCAATTAACCGATTTTGAATCTTCCGACAAGGTTAGAAATATCCCTCTATATATTTGCTCTAGTTGTACACGCGTTGAGCGCAACACGTAAAGATGCTTACATTCTAAAAGATGATGTCATTTGCATTTTCTCTCATCTGTTCATATCCTTAAAACAAATCTCTTGTGTATGCTCTCATCAGAAAGAGTCTTTTGAGTTTGGTGAGCTTGAATGGATAGCAGATATGGGTATTTTCGGCGTAGAGCAATTTCCTCAGAAAGCGTTGGCAGCAGCTGAAGTTCCTCAGCTTCCACCGTCGCAGGCAACCAATTTTACCTCGTATAGACCTGCCAAATCGAACAGTCCATACAAGAAGCCTCGAATCGAAATGCTGGAGGACGATGATGATCATTTTACTGTCCCTGATCTTGGCTGATTTTAAACGCATATCAACTGGTTTCATGGTATTAGTTGACACGTTGAATTACATAATGTCCATACAAAGTAATGCTTGTATGCATTTATGTATGTGTACAAGAATTTATAATGCGTTTTCGGGATTTACCATTTTATTTGATCCATCGGCATGTAATTTCGCCTACTCTGGCAACAAGACCGTACTCCGTAGAAACATATGCCTGTTATTTTAGTTCATGTCGATTGAAAATAAAACTGTTGTGGGTAATTGATATATACTCTTGCCTGCCTACCTTGCATTAAGCTTGATCTTCCTAAGCATGTCCATGACTCAAATCCGTCCGTTACTTTTCTGTCACAAAAGAACAACTTTTCCATTACACCAAGGTTCTATCTCAAATAGGCTCAGACACTTGTAGTTACAAAATGAGCAACAGCAGGCTTAACCTCAAAAGTTATTCAGCGTAACGTTTCGATTAACCCCTTCAAGAAATTTAACTCCTTTCTAGTCAGGCACATATCTTTCATCGCCCAACGAGGACAGACAAGGGCAAGTGGCCCTTTACCACAGTGGTGAAAAGTAATTGAGCCCCCACATGAGAACATGCGTTCGAACGCCGTCGGTGGCTAATCTAACTTCCAACAAAACTTATCGTTTGACAAGAAAAAAAATCAAGGACAGACAAGGTAACTTCCAATGAAACTAAATGATAATAATTTTTAGGGGCACGAAAAACAATCGGAATGAGGTTTCTCCCTTCAGTGACAAATTTTCAAGTCAGATTTACTGCTTTTGATTACAATTACTTGATAACCCCCAGCACTAAAAACACTCGAAAGAAATTTCTTAAAATTCTTTAGTCTGGGAGCAAAAGTCGTGGACCGAAATTAATACAAAGAAACTGTATACAAGATCTCAGAAACTTATAAACAGGAACGGGTTCAAACTCGTACAGAATAAGCGGTTTCATATGAGCCAATTAACAGTAACGTTGCCAAGCCATGTAAACAAGGGGAACTGAGCCAAAGCAATAAAGATCAACAGATAATGGTGCTTGCTTGTATCAGAACTCCTCACCTCCGCAAAGAGAACTCTCTTCATAGTCTTCACCAAGAAGACTCCCATGCATATACACGTCCAGGGCATCAAAAAGTAGTACGAGTAGCTCAAGATAATCCGTCCAAGTACAGCCAAGCACAACCCCGTGAAAGCATACCCACCATATGCCACCATGTCAAGCAATGGTGCCTCACCACCACCCAAGGAAAGCAATGATACTTTCAGTAGTGCAACTTGCATAAACCAGCCAAGCAAGCCCTTGATAAACAACCAGTTTAGAGCTTCAGGGCTAAACCTGGCAGGCAGATAACAACAAACAATTTTAAGATATCATGAGTGCCAAGATTTATACGAGTTCTGATGTTAACAGATTGAAATGCCAAAAACATAAATAAACACAACAAAAACAAAGCCACTTAAAGAAAACACAAATGGAACCATGATGCAGTTCAGGAACCTCTGACGTTCCGACCAATCAACAATAAAAATATAATTAAAAATATAAAAAAAGGTCGTACCCAGTGCACAAGGCTCCCGCTTTACGCAGGGTCTGGGAGAGGTGAATGTCGGCTAGCCTTACCCCCATTTATGGAGAGGCTGCTCCCAAGTCTCGAACCCGAGACCTACCGCTCATGGACGAAGGCACTTGCCATCGCACCAAGTGCGAGTGTAACAAAATCTTGAGGTTGATCCAATTACTAATTGTTTCACATTGATGTCCAAGTGGAAATTATTTCTCTTCAAGAGTCAACACCTAGAAGACTCCCAAATCTAAATTCATTTGCTACAGCAACGAAAAAACAAAAAGAAAGGAACGGGAAAGAAACTAAATCATCAATGGGGGGGTCCTGCTTTCTCTAACACAACAGCTCTAGTTGCCCACAGGTTACCAGTCAAAGAACGGTATAGTCTGCTAAAAGAGTGATTTGTCGCATCAGCAGCATACATTTTGATCATATATTGAAAGTCACAGGCACAATCATGGAAATCAGTGTTAATCTGAGCACTATTATGGATGATATATTGAAAGTCCTCTTAAAAAGCCTTAAGAAACTAAAAGGCAAAGTGTTCAGAGTTTTACATTTTACTCTTGACCTAAATTATTTTGGAGCTGTATTGTACCAAGCCCACGAAACAGTTGACAGAGAGATATTTTATTGTTATCTACTTTTACCTTTCTTTTTGGGCCTCCCATAACATGTTTAAGAGGTTAAAACAATTGTACTACAGTTATCATACCTGGATATTGAACTGAAGGAAGACCATGAACAAGGGAAAAACTAAATGCAGCTAGACTATAAAACAATCAAACAAAAGGACCATATCTGTTCCATACCAAATAGAACCTTTTTCCAAACTTTGATGAAAGTAGAAAACTAATAGTAGGGTACAGAATTGCAAATAGAGGAAACAACAGCAAAATAAACAAATGCATAGCTCACTTCTACAGTGAAAAGAAAACCCCTTCGTTCTTATAGCAACTGATTTCCCATGAAAGCATTAACCTAAATAGAAGAGAAAACTGCATAGAGTACATCTAGGATTCATAAAACTTACTTTCCTTGAAGACCCAATGAGAAGCCAGCCAGAACCACATAGGTACCAAATGCCATAAACGGAATGTATAGATCTGGTGCGTTGATGTCATAGATTGGGGGTTTATAAGAAAGCCTGCCTCCTACCGGCTCAGTTATTCTGGTCCAATGGCCCTGAAAGAAAAGAGGGCAGGAGGAATGAGTAAGTTCTGTAGCAGGGTAATTTGATTTCACAAGAAAAAATTCAAATGGTAGCACTTACCCTGTGGAGAAATGGAAATAGAACGACCTTCAATTTGTTCCTCACATACTGGTCATTCACTTGGAAGTAGTATTGCGGATCAGAGAAATACCTACTGATCTGCTCATTCCAACAGAAACAATCAATATTTAACTCGATTACCTTGGATTATGTACGAACTTAAGAGCCCTTGCTAACATCCAAAAAGTACTAGGTCACTTGAAGACAATCATACTAGGCAATTACCGTGTTCAAAGCAGTTGACAATATAGCTTACATGAGTTAGATATCAATGCAAAATGTTTTAGGTAGCATAATAGTATAGAGGCATTCTATCGAATACTAGTACATATAGCAGCATCTCAAACAAAACTCCAAACTTATGCATCGGGAAATTATGTACAAATACAATGTACATCGATCTAACTAACAGATCCTCAACCTTTTACCCAATAAAGAGCATCACGAGATTTAAGAAAAATCATAACAAATTAAAAGTATTCTAAATTAATAATAATTTATAAACCCTAGGGGCAAAACTGATTCGCAAAAATCAAAACTTGATTCAGAAATTTTACAATTTGATCCTAAATTCTTCATATTTCATAGTTAACCAATATCATAATAGTGGACTCTGGCTACTTACATTGCTTTGTACATACTCAGAGCTTGATCCTAAAATCTTTTCTCCATATGCACCCAATCCACCACGGATAAGTCCTGAACTAGCACCGTACAACGTATTCCCAAACGGACCCGGCTGCGGAGATGCCATCGGCATTCCCACCCCAGGCTGGCTTCCCACATTGTTGTACATTTCTGCAGTTAAACACACACACGCAAAAGGGGGAAAATATAAAAATCACTGGAGATGATTAATCTCTATTGAAATTAATCGACGACGTTGCTAATCTAAGTCTCAATACTGCTAGATACTTGCATAATACCGCTAATTAGCACAAGATTTGTATAACACCTGTATCTGGATTCTGGAGGTTGAGGTGGAGGGAGGAGGCGGTGGCGCGCTAGACCGAGAGAAAGAGACTGAGGAGGAGAGGGGATTCGTGGGTGGCTGATGACGGATGAGATGGGAGACTGGAGGTTGAGGCGGCGTCGATTACTGCCGCGGGTTGGCAGCGACCGCGTCGGATTTGAGAAATTTTGGAAAGTCTGTAGCTCAAGGGATCTCTCTCAGTTTTATTTATTTAATTTTTTTTTTTTTAGTGTCAAAACTTTCATTAAAAATAAATAAATAAAAGCCTTTCATCATTCGGCCAATAGGGGCACTACCATGTGGCAATAATACTGTGAAGAGCTTACAAGAAATTGGCTTGGGGTCACCACTCCTCAGGCCTGGGCCGGCCCGACCCAATTTACAGGCCTGTATGAATCCCCAACAATTTGAGCAACATGCACCTCTAACGTATAATTTCTCTTTACAAAATCTAATTGAACTTGCTTAGCTTCCCTTTGTTCACTAATCGTATGATTTGTGAAAATTAAATCTAGGGATTAATGATGCAATATAAATGATAATGTGATGTTTATGCAATGGATCTATCATGATTGTTGGAACCAAAATCCTGCAAGATAAGATGTTATGCTCTCATCCGAATAAACATGAAGATTGACGAGGCAATGAATGGGAGAGTATTTGGGGATGCGGTTGTATGCGTGTTGGATTGCCTATTGGGGGTGTATTGTATATATGGAGTTTGATAGACTTTGCTTGACTTCAAATACAAGTGTATTCAATATAAACTTTTAAGGAATCAACAAAAATCACTGGTAGTAAATAAAGACTTTATATGACTTCTAAAATGACTATGAAAATCTTGTGGTATTCAGTTATGACTTTTTGTGAGTCTATAAAGTGTATTCAGAATTTCATCTATTTTAAAAAAATTTAAAAGCCATGGATTTTTAAGTGCTTTTGTGATAAGTTTTTTTGTCATAACAAATTCAACATCTCCCCTTAAGATTTTGATAGATTTCATATTTCTTATACTCCATCGTCACCATAATGGGTAGCGAGAAAAATCATCAGTAAAAAACACATAATACCAAACCAAATAACAGAACTAATTGAAGACATCCACACATTAGAATGAATAATATAAAATAAGGAAGAAGAACGATTAGTCTTGGAATGAAACAGAAGTCGAGTAGACTTGTTGTCGAAACCCTATAACTTTCTAGGAATCTTACACCAATTACAATTGAAAATTATATTTCTATAATACTGGGATCATTTCATTCGTTATGAAATTAAAAGTGCAAGGTCAATTAGTGAGGTCATAAAAGCTTCATACAATGAATGATCGGTAATTCTATTTGTGCTTTTAGCAAGTAGGCAATGCAAATCGAAGTTGGATGTTTCGATATGGTTCAATTCATGTGTTAATATAAGAAACAAGTCTTCCTGAAGGAAATGTAAG